CCTCCTGTCCACCCAGTCACCTACCCAGCCAACCACTAACCCACGCAGCCAGCCTCCCATTTACTCATCTATCCACACATCTACACACTCAACTATCTACCCACCCATACAGCCATCTCATCCCCCCATCCATACACCGTTATTCACCTGTCCACTCCCTCATCACCCATCGGCCCAACCACTAACCCAGCCAGCCCTGGATTGTAAGTGCCTGACAATTAGTTTTTCTGATTGTTAATGTAAGTGCCTGGCATTAATCTTTTGATTGCTGAGACAGTCACTTCGAAGACATCCATCTCAAATAAACACGTTGCCAGCTACCCAACTAGATGGCGAGCCAGGCTGCCCCACCCATGCAGTTCTGCTCTAGAAGGTCCTGGGTGACCTGATAATCGACCACTCTAGAAACCCCAGCCCCCACTCCAACCCCAAAAAGTTAGAGACCAAGGTCCACGCTGCCTCCCTCTCTCCCTGCGACCTTGCTGTGTGGCCCCAGCTGTGCATATGCCCTCCAGGACCTGTGAGTAGTAAAGCTTCCTCAGAGCCCCCTGATGGTTCTTGCTGAAGTGTGTCCTGTCATCATAGGAAGGACCACCAGGGCCTGTCCAGCCACGACGTTGGCCCCTGTGGGGAAATGCGTCTGGCGGCCCACCACCAGTAGTACGGACCCAGGGGAGGGCCTGGGCATCCCAGCATCACTAACCACAGGCCGAAACCCACACAGAACAACCCTTTATTGACCATGTATTCACCCATCCAAGACCCGTCAAGAGCTTAAAGCTCTTGACCAAGGGGGGGCGGGGAGGGAGAGACAGAAGCAGGCAGGATGCCCGGTGTTTACCGAAGACACTTTGGGACAGTACCAGACCGTGTGGCCGAGAGCAGGTGAAGGTCTGCGCACCAGTGTGCAGGTCTGGCCTCACCACCTGCTTCCTTCAGCCCTCGGGCCAGTTGACCTCCAGGAGCCTGAGCAACTTAGTAGATGGCCTCCCCCCACCCCACGTGCATTCTTACACTGCCCCCTGGGTCCTTTGGCCTTCTGTGCCCCAGCTGGTCTTCCTGGGAGAGGCACCATCAGCCTGCGTCCTACGCTGCAGGGGCTCACATGCCTCGGAGTGGGAGGCACCACTGTGCTGCTTGAGACAGCCATCAGCTTTCTTCCAGTCCTGGGTTTTATGGACCCCAAGGGGCTGCCAGAGTTATAAATAGATGTTCTTAAGCTAAAAATAGCCTTGCTTTAGCGACAGCCCCATGCTTCTAGTTTCCGGCCTCTTGAGGGCTCCTAGGGATGCTGGATTCAAGGACCCTCCTCCTCTCGCAGTCCCTGAGAGGGGCCAGCTGAGCCCTTTCCCTGTCTCCTGCTTCCTCTTCTCTCCCAGTCTCCTGCAACACGCACATCCTGCACACATGTGTGGGCACTCATGTGCACGCGCGCGCACATACACACACACGCAGATCTGGCCTGCGTCCCTGGTTTGAGCTCCCTGCCACTTGGAACTAGGGAAGTGTCCCTAGGAAGAAGCAGGCCAAAGCTCCAAGAAGGCTCAGACCCCCTTGGAGGCCTTGCACCGCATTAGCCAGAGGGCCGTGGGGCTGAGGGCACAGATCTGCCCGGCAGCCCCCCTGGAGCCTGGGAGACCCGTTCCCAGGAAATGCCCGGATGTGTGGAGTCGTGCAGGCACACGGTGAGCTCAGCACGCAGTGAGCTCAGTACACAGGAGCCGTCGTTATAGTAACGGCCAGGGAGGCGTTGGAGTGACCCAGAGGAGTCACGTCTGAAGATCTGTCCCAGGAGAGCATTGCCTGAACGCTGCGAGCCGCGGCCGTCACCACGCTGGGCGGACTAAGCGCAACCCTGCCATCGGGGGGCTGCACGCTCGCGGCGGTCGGTGCAGATGCGCAGCCGCAGTCGGGCTGGCTGACTCCAGGGAGAGGAACCCCGGGGCTGGGGACAAAAGTGGGTGGGTCACCCCAGTACCTTCCACCAGATACCCTCGTGTGCCTTTGGTCCTTGTAGCACATGCATGGATTCTTTCAACGGATCATTTACGTAATTAAAAAGCTAGTTGCAGACATTCTGTAGCCAGACCCCCGTTTCCGGTGAAAGGGAAGGAGTGGTGTGGTGTGCTCGGGCTTGTGCCCACACATGCACACGGAGCCCTGCCGAGATGCAGCCAAGTGTTCCCGTGCTTATGCCCGGGGAAGTGGGTGAGGGGCAAAACGGCATTTTTATTGGACATAGTGGTAACTTTTAAAAATTTTCACTAGCAGGTAACAACAAACAAGGGTGTTCTACATTCTAGGATGCAGTGGGGCCTTCCTCACGCCGGGCCCTCCCCCAGCACAGTCCCCCGCCCTGCCCAACCTGCCCTCGGGGTCCCAGGGGCTGAGTCCTGGGGAAGTTGGTCTTGTGGGCCCAATGCCCCAGCCTCCTGGCCTCAGGAAGCCTCCAGGGCCGCTGCCCCACACTCTCCATTCCAGCCTCCCACCAGCCCGAAGAAAGAGACAGCCAGAGACATGGAGAAAACGTCCATCTCGGGATTTATTACAACACATTGTCTCCAAATACAAAAGAAGGGGACAGGACAGGGAGCAGAGTGTGGCCGCGCTGGGGGAGGGGTTCTGAGGCAGGAGCGGGACGCCCAGTCCAGAGAGACTGGGAGCCATGCGGGGGACCTGCCACCTCCCCTCCGCTGGACTTTCCAGCAAATATTAGGAGGGGGCGGGGTCCATTCTGGGGCCACCCCCAATGCCAGGATGGGGTGGGAAGGGGAGGAGGGCTGAGAGACTTGGAGAGGGCTGGGGCCCGGCCCTGGCCCCACCTCAGGCAGTGTGTGGAATTGACCGGGGAGGGGCTTGTGCCAGGGCCTGGTCCCCCCGGGACAGGAGAGGGGGTGGCAGGGACAGGACCTCCCCCCACATTGCAGCTGCTCACTTTGGGGTGACCAGGGCCTCAAGAGCAAGAGCCCCCCACACTCCAAGACCGAAGTCACAAGAGATGCTGGCGGCCCTAGAAAAAGGGCAGAGGGCAGAGAGAGGAAAGGACCGGGGGCTGCGGGACCTGCCTCCAGAGTTCGGGGCCCAACCAGTGGCCCCAGACCACTGTCTCCTGGACAGCACAGGGGTGGGGCGTGGAGGTGGGGACCAGTGCATCCTCCACACCCAGGGTCATCTCAGAAACCCAACGCGATAGACAGACAGAAGGCAAGTTTACATAATCAATCATAATAATAATTAACCAATAATAAATACTTAAACCTCTAATCCATAGATTGCAAACACAACGATGATAGCTTATTTTCTTGGGGAACGGGGTGGGGACAGAGGGAACAGGAAGAGGACTTTTGCTTAAAGGAGGGATGACAGGTGCACAGGGCGGCAGGTCAACAGAACAAACGGAAGAAACAACCAGAGGGGCAGCTGCCCCGAGGACTCGGCCCTGCCCAGCCGCCCTCCTGCCAAGCCCCTGGCCTCTTCCCAAGGCGGCCAGCAACCCCCCCACACACTAGACTCTAGGACATCTGAAGGTTGGGGGACATCTACTCCTGCCTCCAAAAGCCATGGGTCCCAATGACCCAAGAAGGTGTGGGACGGGGGGCAGCTGGGGCTTTTTCCCTGCCTTTACTGCCAGGCTGGCCCACCTGGGCCCAAAAGCCACCTGGCATATCACCGTGAAGATCCCAGGGAGGCTGCAGAAGCGAGAGCTCCCCAGGAAAGGGCAGTGTGGGAGTGCTCTTCTCCAAGGACCCCGTGGGGCTGGGGGCAGGCATGGGGGACACCTGCATCTGCCCACATCAGGGGCCTTTATCTGTCTGGAGACGGCTCTCCCGAAGCTAAGGACCCCCATCCCCTGGAAGCGTAAGGGTCTGACAAGTGCTTAACTACCCCCTCCCAATGCAAGGCAGCCAACTCCTCATGGAGGCCCTCCACCTGCAGGAACATACCTGAATTCCAAGTCTGGCCTGGGGCCTGGGGGCTGGCTGGGGGAAGAGCCCAGAACAAGACTCTAAATCCATCTGCCCTCTGGCCAGTGGAGCCAAAACTGGCTAGGCCAGCTCCTCCCGTCTGATACCCCCAGGGGCTGAGCTCCTCTCCTGTTGTTCCCCCCCCACCTGGCAGGTGGTGCTAGGCAGCACCCGCAAAGTGGAGTTGAGGGGGGCAGCATCCATGGAACAGCCCTGCTGAACCCGTGAAACTGGACATGGGCTCAGGCAGGAGTGGGGGGCATCCCACCTCTATCCCTGCCCTGGGGACCCACATCATCTGACACTCAAGAGCGCCGTTCACCAAGCCCCTATCCTGTTCTATCCCCAGCCTGTCCAAAAACCCTAGCCTCTCTAGGCCCAATGCCAGTCAACACCGACCAGGCAACGGGGAGGGGTTGGGGGGGGCGGCAGGGGGGCAGGTAGTGGGGGTGCCTCCGGCTGGCAGAGCTGCCTCAGTCACACCCCAGCTCCTGAGACACTTCCCCCACCTAGACTTTGGTGCAGAGCCCGAGAAAAGAGCAGAGGAGGAGGAGTGCAGAAGAGGGGGCAGGGAGGGACAGGGAGGTTCTGCGGCTCAGTTTGTGGCAAAGTTTTTTTTCTCCTTTTTTCCCCTTTTTCTTATGTAAAAAGTGCACGAAAGCTCGGCAGCCTCTTTGCAACGGTCAGCAGTGTTTCCTGGGAGAGGGGGGGCGGGGAGGGGACCCCAGGCCTGGCACCCCAGCTTGGGACTGAAGGTGGCCTCATATTGCTTAGAAACGAGTGTTTCAGTTTAAATACCAGACAGTAAAAATAGAGCTCCGAGGACCGCCCGCACTGTTGCCAAATCATTGCCAGAATGAACAGCTTAAATAAATAAAAAATCGAAATATTTACTTCTTGATAAAAATCGCAGTAAAACCATTTACCTTTCTTTGCATTATATATAATATATATTTATAGTGGGCCCGGCTGCTGGCGGCCCAGACCAGGGAGCCGAGGGCAGCGGAGCGCCGGGCCCTGGGTCCCCGGCCGCCGTCAGGATACCTCGATGACCTCCACGCTGCCCGAGAAGCTGGCCTGCTTTCCCAGGGCAGCCAGCTCCTCGCCGCGCGCGCGCCCCTCCACCATGCCCTCCTCGAACTCCATCTGGCAGCTTCGGCGCTTGAACTGTGTCTCCGGG